CCTTCTCCTTCGGACTTGCTCTCCCCTCCGTCTCCCTGACGTCCAGTCTCACCCTTTCCCCTGACCCTTATCTTCCCCTCCTGACTTTCTGGGTTCAGCACCCAAGGGGGCTGGGTATGGCTGTGTAAGTTGTTCTGCACAGAAGTACCCTGCTGGCTCTGCCTGCCAACATCCATCAAGACGCCATTTCTTCTCTGTAAAACAGGGCTCGGGCGCCGCGTCGGCACAAGCCTGTGGATTCTTCTCCACAGAGGGCCGCCCTCTCTTGGCAACAGCTCTCCAAAACTAGAGCAGCAGTTAAAACACCAAGTGTCCTTGACATGTCCATTTGTTGCCATTGTGAAGTCAACATAGAAACTGGCCAACTAAATCATCCAAAGCTGTTAAACTTTCTCCGTTCAACATGCTTTGCTATGAACTTTAGAAAGTGTTTTAGAAAAACATGTTTGGGGTAAGTTGGCAAGCTTGGTAAATTGAGCAAGCCGATCTCTGGCGAGTCTGGTGAAATCCGCAGCAGGCTCCTCGCTCCCCAGACTGGCCCTGCCTCAGGGGCAGAGAGGTCCACTTTGTCCTGAGGAAGCGTCTTCCCCACCAAAAGGGCTGTGGAGGGGACACAGCCCACCCTGACTCGTGGGTTCTATTTTGCCTCCACATCTGGAGTCCAGGAAGAAATCTACGAGAGGCCGAGTCTCGGTAGAACCGTCACCAATTCCTCTCTCCCAGAGGAAGGAGTGCTGTGCCTGACCTCTCATGGCGAGCTCATTGCCACCTCCCGCCGTCCGTGGTCATCAGTTATCTACTAGAGTCGCGTGGCTTTCCGAGACACACTGAGGATCACTGCGCTTTACGTAAGTCACATAAGCTGTGTACGCGATGCTGTGTACGCGATGGAGACCATTGCTCTACCAGAAGGTTCAGGGCAAAACTGGCCATTTGCTTCTGATCCCAAAATCAGCTACAGCCCAGGTCTTTGCGGTCCTGCCTCCTGATCGCGATGGTCAGCAAGGTCTCCTCTGTGCGGCGGCCACACCGAAACTTCCCCATGGCAGCGTGCCATCTGAAGCTGTCCTTCCAAATCCACTTAATCTGTGTATACTTCCAGCTGTGTGTTCCTTCACCCCGAACGGCAGCTTGTCAGTCTGCAGTCGCCTTGCTAAGCCCTGATTTGCATGACATCCCCTTCTTTGTTGCTGTTGGGGGATTCATTTTCACCTGACAGTTCTCCCATTTTGAAGCTGGCCTTTGCCCTCGCTGTGCCCGAGCCCCCACCACGAGGTGGTCTGCCATCAGCCGCCCAGCCTTCCCAGAGGCTGCCGGCAGCAGTGGGAACAAGCTGCTGATGGGAAATCCTACCTTTCTACTCCGCACCCCTCAATCCGCCTCCCCTTCCAACTGGGGAGAAGACATTTCCTGCTTTTCTTAAAGCCACGTGGTTCAGAAGAACTCCTGGATGAGAAAGAGGATGAGGGAAGAACCCCGTTTTGGAGTAGGACCCACAGCCTGCCTTCAAGAGAGAAATCTGTAATGGGGAATAAACATGCACTGCAGCCTGTGACACCCCCGCATTTCCACAGGCAGAGGGAGAGCTGAGCCCACCGCGCCAGGGCCTAAGAGTGGGAAGGCGGCGTGCTGTTCTGGCCGGACGCACCCCGAGTGTCCGCACGACGCACGGGGTCAGCCCTTCCGCAGCCCAGGCTGCAGAGCCGACGGTGCGGGAGCCCAGGAGACGCACAGAAAGCTGTGGACCCTTCAGAAAGCACGTCCTCAGTACGAAAGTCTGTCCCCTGGAGTAAACGCTCCGGAGTGTTTTCTGACCTCTGCTCATTCATTTCCTGACACTAAAATGTTTTAAAAAAAAAAAAAAAAAAATAGACTCAAGAATACAGAACCTCTTAAAATCTTTAAAAAGAGGATACAAATGGAGTATAAATAAGGAAACTGTCGCCCACCAGGGGGATGCCATCAGCGCCCTTCTGATCCTTATCTCACAGCTACGTATTGACGGACTCACGCGGCTGCTGACTGGTTACTGTGTGTGCACCTTCTACGCAGGGCCCTGGAGACGAAAGTGACTAAGTCACAGACCCTGCTTGGGAAGTTCCCAGCCTCGGAGGAGCCATAGATGTAAAGAATAAATATGGTAAGTGCCACAAAAAGGTATGTACAGCCAGTCCAGTGTGGCTCAGTGGTTGAGCATTGACCCATGCACCAAGAGGTCGCTGGTTCGATTCCCGGTCAGGGCACATGCCCAGGTTGTGGGCCTGATCCTCAGTGGGGGGCATGCAGGAGGTGGCCAATCAATATTTTCTCTCATCGATGTTTCTTTCTCTCTCCTCAATGTTTCTATCTCTCTCTCCCTTCCTCCCTCTCTCTAACATCAATAAAGAAAAAATTTATTTAGAAAAAGGTACGGCCCTGGCTGGTTTGGCTCAGCGGTTAGAGCGTTGGCCTGCGGTCCAGAGAGACCCAGGTTTGGTTCCCGCTAAGGGCATGTATCTCAGTTGCAGTTTGTCCCTGGCCCTGGTTGGGTCGTGTGGGTGGCAGCCACTCGATGTGTACCTTTCATGTCGATGTTTCTCTCTCTCTCTTCCTCTCTCTCCCTCCCACTCTATGTGAACAAAAAATGAAAAAATGTCCTCGGATGAGGATGAAAAAAAAAGGTACGTTTACATTACAGTGACAGCTTAAGATTTAATTTGGAAAAAAAATAGCTCTCACATTTTTTTATGCATCTTTTAACCCATAATCCCTTTAGCCAAGGTGTTTGATCATTATAAGGATAATGTATGGGAGACACGTCACAAGCTGCGAGTTCATCTCCTACTGCTTCCAGTGTTGACAAAACCTCCGTTTCAGGCAGGGCGGCAGGTGCTGGAGCAGAGCCTCTGGCCCCGCATCTTTCCTGCTCGCTGACCAGAGCGCACCGCAGAGGAAGGGGCCCCGGAGAACCAGCCTGCAAGGCTGGTCCACGGGCAAGTCGCTCATGCTCTCTGAGTCATTTCCTTTCCTAAAATAGGATGGGTCTTGACTAGCTCATCTCCAAGTTCCTTTCCCACTGAGGATTCTGGGTCTCTATTTTCATGGTGGAAATCTCCCTCAGATACTTCTAGTTACGGATGGTAGCATTAGAATAACTAAAGTAATAAAACCTCTACGTGGGAAACCAAAACATTTTTCTAGATCTTAGGTGGTGATCGTTTCAAAATCAACTTGTACTTGTTTTGGAAGCACAGATCATTGCCCGTGAGCTGAAGGACAGATGGAACATCCTTTAACCCAATCTGGCCAAGTTCCCCACTGAACTCAACTGCAGCGGTGGGAAGGTGATTACACGAAGGGAACGGAGGCAGAGCGGGTCAGGCTCTGGGCTGCTGAGCCAGCAACGACCCAGAGTGTCCAGCTCGCTACACGAATGAGGTCCAAGTCACAGACCTGGCATCCCCATCAGCTCTACCTTCGACTTTCCATCATTTAACACGGTCTCCAAACGCTGAGGTCTGTGCCTGGCACAGAAAATGTCTCTGTTTTTCCTAAAATACTCTTAAAAAGACTCAAGGTTGTTCAGTGTTTTGCTAATATTTTAGGGGATTGTGGAAAAATGTGCACACCACAGAGAGAAATAATGCAAACGGCGAGCCAGGTTGCACGGGTGACCTGTTCTGACTCAACAGGCATGCTACCAGCAATCCCTCTGGTCAGGGGCCACTGGAACATATTTCCAGCACCCCCCCCCACCCCCCAGTTTCATAGAGACAGACAGGTGGGAGGGGCTGGGTTGGAGTGATGGGCAGCTGAGGACACAAGATCATCGGCTCTCAGTGGCACTCAGTGATGGGCTAGTTGTCCTGTGTTGCCCTTGTTACCTATAATCTATTCAGGTGTTGGATCAAATACATCCAATATTAAGCTGTGGACTTTGAAAAAAAACCCATTAAAAGTTTAAAACATATGCAGGGCTTGATTTTAAAGGACCACTGCCAGGACTCATCATGCTAAATAGTTCTTGTGATGATGGTAAGAAGGGCTACTGTTACTGCATCCCTGTCACCAGCAGAACCCAATACCTCTTGCTGCCATAGGTCCCGTTATCCGTCACTTAGATGAGAACTGCACACACGGGCATTTCGGCAGGACACTCATACTGCACTAGCTAAACGAAGAATTTCTACAGGGCTTAACAGGAAACGTGGACCACCACCACAATCAAGGAAAAGCGAACAGAGTCCGATAGACGCGTACTTCTTTTCCTCCTCTTCTCGTCTCCATCCAAAGGGCACAGTCGACAGCGCAAGCTGCTGTGCTAACGGTATGTCTTTTTTTGCTGCCTTTGGTAAGTGCTATCAATAGCCTTAGATTACATACCGTATGCTTTGGATTACAGCGAGCGTATTTTCCCCATGTTTTTGAACATTTTCTTCTATGTCTGAATTGCCAAGGGGGCTGATACAGGAAGGACGTGCGCTGTTTATTTAAGGCTGTGCCGTCAGTGACAGGCCCTGCCGGGGCGCGGAGTGACGCACACCCCTTCACAGCCGCATCTGACGGCACAGAGCTGGGGATGCCGTAGGTGCTCCATCAGTACGTGACCAATAAGTAAGCAGGATACATCAGCATCGACGTAATCAGGAAAGGAACTTTAACCGGGGAAATCAAAGCATCACCAATTATGTTTGGAAAAGGGGCAGAGAGGGTAACACGGTTGACTCTGGATGTTCAAAAATGGACTGGAAATTATTCCGCAAGACAAGAGTATGATTAAAATTAGAGGTAAAGTTTGCCTCTCTTCAATATGCACGAAGTCCCAAGAAACACCAACACCCTTTGTTCCTGGATTCAAGGACTTCCTCAAATAACAATCGTTCATATTTTGGGATGAAAAGGTTCTGAAGAGACTGTTAATGAATCTAGCATAACATCACATTATGGAATACATGACATCTCCTTTTAATATAACCATCTCTCCTTTTCCAAAAACAAAGCGGGGGGGGGTCTCTCCTTACCGTCAGTGACAAGGCCATGCACACGAACGTGAACTTCTTGATGTGGGCCGCCGTGACCGTGCTGCTGGTGCTCACCAGCTTATTGCTGGGGTTATTCTGGGGGGAAGAAAGGAGCAATGGTGACCGGGTCTGTGGCTGACCACACGTGCATCCCAAAGAGCACCTCGTCTGTGCTTTATTGGATGTGTCTAAAGCACAGATTTCAAGTGACAGCTTGGAAGATGCTGTCACTTTGAGTCTCTCTCTCTCTGACAGCTGTCAGGTTTCGGGACGTGACCAGTAACCAGAGGGAGTTCCAGAATGAACACAGGGCAGTGTCTCCTGAATCAGTCCCCCTCCCTTTGGTGCTGGGCACCCACCCAGCTAGCCCAGGGCCTCGGCCCTGTGTGTCCCCTCCTGGCCACTGTGGGCATCTCCCTGAATGCCCTGGCCCTTCTCAGTGACCTTTGGGCCCTTCCTCCCCACCAAACAGACTATTAGTTGGACTGGGCATTCAAGGCTTTGCTTGCCCTAACCCAGACCCACTTTCCGGCCATGAGTTTTCAACCTGAACCCCAAAGGGAACCTCTTGCTCTTCCCCTAACACACCAGGTGCGTCCAGGTTTCTGTCCTTTTGTTCCTCCTCCCCCACCGCTGGATCTTCTGGGGTCAAGAAACACCCTTCATTCAAGGCCCATCATCTTCACCGCCCATCGTTTCTTAAAGCCTCTCTGATCTACTCCCTCCAGACTGCCTCTGGCCCCCTTCCCCAAGTCAGGTTCGGTGCGCTGGCCCGTACTCAGGGGCTCATGTCAGAGCCCTGTGGGGAGTGGGCTCGCTCTCCGAAATCGAGGACCGTGTGTTCACCCATCTCTTTAGCTCCTGCACCTCAGCACAATCTTTCCTGAGTCCCAAAAGTGCTCAAAAGCCTTTGTTGAAGGAATTTTAAGCAAATGACGCAGATGGCTCAGATGCTTCCTTACACAGCCCGACGCCGAGCCTTGCCAAGGCCCTAGTGCCACTGCTGAGCGTGAACATGACCCAGGCCACACGAGCGCCTGGCCCCACGGTGAAATCCAGCAGAGAACAGTTCCTGCCTCGTTACGGATCCCATTGGTGCCAGAGCAGACCAACGGAAACATACTCCCGCATCCAGCCGATGAAAGACATGCACGCAGAGATATTGCAGGTTCCACTGGGAGGAGAACTACTGATGTTGCCCTGACTGCAGAGGCTAAGGTAATCTCTCCACCCCTCCCCCTGGCACATGCCACCAGCACAAATGCTGGCTGAGGCGACGTTTTCTTGTTTCCGATCTCTAGAGCACACCTGCTTTTCTGAAGGAGAGATTGCTGCCATGGCAAAGGGCAAATCACAGTGAGCAGGACACCTGTGCATCTGCACTCACCCCAGGGATCTGTGGGGGTGGAACCCTGGTGGGCCGAGTGAGAAGCAGCCACACGAGAGAGAATGGCACACATCGCCATGGTGACAGGAACATGCCTCAGCTCCTTCAAGTGCACTTTTATTTTTAACCTAGCAAGTATTTCTGCAAGTACATATCACTAGACTGGCATCTATGTTTTGTATTGTTTGCCCAATCTGCTCAGCAACCTGCTCTTTCGCAGATGACAACTGAACATTAGAGAGAATTTGTACAAGCGGAAAACTCTCCCAGTTCAATATGGAGCGAGAACCATCAGAAGTTATGTGAGAAATTTTATTTTTTTTATTTTTTTTATTTTTTTTTTTTTATCCTCACCCGAGGACATTTTTCCATTTTTTGTACAGATAGAGTGGGAGGAAGAGAGAGGAAGGGAGAGAGAGAGAGAAACATCGACGTGAAGGGACACATCGAGTGGCTGCCACCCGCACGACCAACCAGGGCCGGGGACAAACTGCAACCGAGGTACGTGCCCTTAGCGGGAACCGAACCCGGGTCTCTCCGGACCACAGGCTGATGCTCTAACCGCTGAGCCAAACTGGCCAGGGCAATGTGAGAAATTTTAAATCTCGCATTCTGCAACCCACAGAGAGGCTAAGGATTTCAACGGTCAGAGGGGCACATTCTGGAAGTCCACACAGAGGTGTCTAAGATTTGGGTGAAGAGGCGCATTCACACCCACGGCGGGGCAGCTCGGTGGAATGCCTGGGACAATGGGTGAGGCACGGAACGGGTTCTGAGTAAGTAACTCCAGTTTCCGGCTAGAGGTACGCTCATTAAAGGGTTTCCCATAACGCCCCGCCCTCTGTGATCATGAGTGAAACCATGCTTTCCTTGGATGCTCCTAGAAAAACTGTACAGTGTATTGTTAAGTTTTATTATTTCAAGGGAGTCAAAAACAATTTCAGATGAGACTTTCATGGCCAGGGGGACCTAGCATTCAGTACCTGCTCTTCTCATTGAGTTTTACTATACAATCGTGTTCTCCGAGAGCTGGAAATTTAGCAAGAAGACTTAGATCCATTTTGGTTTTCTAGGATTTACTTGTATATACATGTTCCTTGCAATGAGGACAATGATTTCTATCGGGAGATTGGATGAAACCCACTCAAACACAAACTGTCCGCTTTCTCCTGCAAGTGACTCATGCCTCATGCCTCTGAAATCCCCTCTCAAAGGCCTGGGAAGCAGAACTCAAATGCATTTTAAGAGACGCTCTGCATCCTGACATTTCGAAGAATGTCTACAGTAGGTGGGGGGAGGACGGGGGCGTCCAACTGTGGTCAGCTGGGGAAGCTCCGCACACAGGAAAGAGCTCTGGGCAACACCTCCACCCTGCTCAGGCGGTGGTGCAGTCCCAGGGGCGTTTGAGGTGGGCTGCTATTCATGGGTGAGGACGGGCCTGGGAATAGAGGCAGGTGGTCTGCTGAGGACCCCTGGGGCAGGAGCTTCCTCTTCTTGCCTCCCAAGGTTCTTTCTGGGATAAGATAAATCGATATTGGTGATTACTTCATAAGGTATACAAATGCCTAATCACTGTAGTGTACACCTGAAACTGATAATATGGTATGTCAACTGTAATTAAAAAATAAATTTAAAATGAGATAAAGTGACATTGGCAATGGCTCTGAGCTAGTTCTAGAGAAATGCAAGGCCAAAGAGTTGCTATTAAGAATCTCAGGGCAGGTTGTGTGCTTCTTACCTATATATATTTTTTGTTTGTTTGTTTTTATTCCTCACTTGAGGACATTTCTCTACTTTTCATCAGATACAGTGGGAGGGAGGGAGGGAGAGAGACAGGGAGAAACATTGATGTGATAGAGCCACATCGACTGGTTGCCTCCCGCACGACCTGACCAAGGCTGGGGATGAAATGCAACTAAGGTACACACCTTTGACTGGAATCAAACCCACGACCCTTTGGTCTGCGGGCCAATGCTCTAACCGCTGAGCCAAACCGGCCAGGGATTTACCTATATTTTTATTTTAGAACATTGCACACTTTCTTTTTTGGGGTCTGTGTTGCTAAACATTTGTTTTAGGATAAGAGGCTACCAGTTTTAGGTTCAGATAATTACGCTTAGTGAAATAGACATTTAGAGGATAGTCCTGACCCAGCAAAGGCTACCTGTCCACAGGGCTGTGTGCCTTCCTGGGCTGTGTCGGCAGCAGGAGGACAGAGCTGCTGTCCACAGTGGCTTTCCGCTGCAGTGAGCCTGCTGCACCCAGCCCAACGTGGACGCAAGCCTGCCGCACAGACACCTGCAGCGTGCATGGGCCCCGCACCCCGAAAGACTTCCGCGCGCTTGCGAGCTCGTGCACACACTCCTACCTTCACATCTGCTAAGAAGTCAGTATTAGTTTAACTTAAAGAAAACAAAAAACAAAAAATGCAGAAACAAAATCCAATGTATTCATTTTTTTGAGAGTATATTTTCCATTTTGCAAATCAATGCTTTCTAATAAGATTAACCTGAATGTCAACATCAGTTTGGGGAGGCATTACAGGCTCAGCATCAAGGTAAGCTTAAATTTGCCTCTGTCATTTTCTGAGAGAATATCCCACGGTTACCTTCACCATCCCCGACATCACATTCACTGTCCCAAGGGGGTGCGACAAGGAAACATCAATGCTCCTTACTGGAGATCCCCGTCTATCAAACACTAATTTCAAAGAGTGTGCTTCAGACACCACGCCGCACAGGCTCTCACCTTGTCAAAAGCAGGGTAGACAGCACGGATTTCCGTCAACCAACCATATGGCATGTGGCCCACAGGGTACGTGGCTGTCAAAATTGCCACTGCCTACAAGAGAAGAGCCAGGGAGTTAGCATTGGCATTCGCAGAGGCATCTCCTGGAGCTGCCATTTGCCACGTGGCGGAGCAAGCTGTCTCAGGTGTGACCACCGCTGCCGAGTCACTCCACAACGGGTGACAAGCGTCGGCCAGACACAGGACAGCCTGGGAGGGGGAGGAAGGGCAGGTGCTCCACTGTGTCCCCGCGTGGCATGCGCGGGCCCTGGGAGAGCCCGAGACCAGGAATACGGGACTAGGTTTCCACAATCCAACGGTAAACAGGCCCAGGTGCAGATCGCTGGCTCGAGAAGCCAAAACGTCAGCCCAGGTCCAGACTCCAGAATCTTTGCTCCTTCCACAGAACCAAATCAAAGCCTCTGGTCCCGCCCAGTTCTTGAGTCTCCCAGTGTGAGTCTGAGCCCTCTCTGCTCTCTGGACAGTCTGCTCAGGATCCTCCTCCGTGCCCCCAGCCCGTCCCTCAGGGTGACGGATGGTACGCGTTTGTCCACGGCTCTATGTACTCTCTCCTTCTGACTCAACTCACTTCCAATCTGTTCAGGCAGCATAGCCCAATTTTTATTTTTCATTTAAGAAAACTTAACAACTATTTCTTATAGGAAGCCAAACATGTTCTATGAAAGTCGGTTTCCTTCTTTCTGTGAATGACAAGGAAGGAGAAGAAAACAAAGCGTCTGACCCCACATGTTGCAGTGTCCAGCTCTCCCGCCAGGTAGCAGCGGAGGAGCACTTCGTGGAGTCTGAGGAACACAACGGCCCTTCCAGGAACATGAGGCGTTCCCGGCAGCGTGCTGTGGGCACTGGCAGGGGAGAAAGAGCGCTGGAAGAGGTGAGCCTGGTTTCAAACCTCCTCTTCCTCACCTGCTGGCCGTGTGCAGCGTGCACCTGCCGGGCACCCCTGTCCGTTCCTCCAGCAGACCCGGGAGACTCACAACACCCTTCACAGCACAGGGCTGTGAGGAGTCAGACAAAGGTACATGAATGCCGACGCCCACATAGATGATCCGCAAACACCCGATCTGTACCCCGCGTGCTGTGCCTCCGTGCCCTCGAGGTCAGCTGAGAAACGGCTCTAACATAGACGCTGCCTCGTTTATTTTAAGGGGAAGATGGGATCCCGGCACACAGGTGATGGGGGCGCATACTTTTTACTGGGCAATTGAGACTGCGGCATTTAAGTAAAACTGCTGCTGTGTTCCAGAAGCCACCCAAGATGATATGATTCAAAACACAGAATCCAGGAACACACTGAGGCAAGAGAAAGCATTCTGCTTGTGACTTATGTGCTCCTCTTTCCAAGCCAACATGGGCTGCTTCCCAGGACATGGAAACTGGCAGGAACCCCCAGGCTGGCGATGCGCTGACCGGGCAGTCAGGGCTGTGTGTACACGGGAGGCCCACGGAGCAGCCGCGGCCCCGTGAAGCAGAGGCAGGATCCGTCTCCAGAGGGCGGCGGCGGAGGAAACAAACGAAGTCATGCTATTTGTTCATGCCGTGCTTGAAAGGTGGAGAAAGTGATCCAACTCTTTCTTTGGAGTAGCTGCCAGTCTCCAGGTAAATTTCCTGAGTTGTGGGTGAGCTCCTCATTCGGAGGAGGGCAGACTGCCGAGGAGCGACAAAGCCAGGATGGGTCGGCTGGTAGGTGCAGGAGGGCAGAGAAACACAGGCGAAGCAGGTGGGTCCGACGGAAGCCTCGGCCCGAATCCCTCCGGGTATCTTCACTTCTGCAGATGCCTGGCCTCCTCCACTGTCCCCCGTGACTGCAGTGAAGGGGCGTCATGCTCACTCCACGGAGAAAGGGCAAGGCCACTGGGCCTGAGTCGGAAACTCTGGGTTCTCACACTGGCCCAGCTTCCTGCCGGTTCTGTGTCCTGAACCTGGTGTCCTGGCCTCAGTTTCCTCACATGGTCATGGAGAAGGACGGATGAGATGTTTTCTTTTGTACTCATAAAGATATAAAATTACTTGATTATAAATCACTGAATGAGATCCTCCTGGCTTCCTAGTGCGAATGTGTCATATAATTTAGTCTCGCAGAATTACTGTAGCTCCCAAGATGAACTGGAAACAAATCTGCAACCGGCCTCCCCACCCCCCTTCGTTGCAAGGCGACCAGTGCCCACATCCCCAGGAATTGCCTACCTCCGTAGCCGCAGAACTGCCACCAAGGTCCCGGGAAACGAAGAGGTTGACGATAGGCCGGCTGATTCTCTGTGTAGCCAGGATGAGAGCCAACGGCCACCAGAAGCTCAGCATCTTTCGTATTGTTGCGTCTCCCTGCATCCAGACACGCGGGCATGGAAGAAGCCAGACAGAGAAAGATAGGAACCGTATGATTTCACTCATATGTGGAATTTAAGGAACAAACTGAACTAACAAGCACAGTGGGAACAGACCCATAGGTAGAGAGCGCGCACACAGCTCTGCTGGGGAGGTGGTGCTGGGGGCGGTGTGAAGGGATCGAGCGGAAGAGAGAGGGGACTCGTGGACATGGACAGGTGTGGTGATTGTGGGGGAGGGGAGGGGGAGGTGAAAGAGGGCATAAAGGGGATATATGGTGATGGAAAAAATAAATAAATAAATAAATAAAAATCTAACAAATAGAAATGAAGGCAAAAGTTCACTAGACCCTGGACGCAGAACAGGAAAGACCAATTCAGAGTCAAAGCCTTTCTTTTTGATGTCAATGGTGAGTCAGTTCACCATACCTAAAAATAATATACGGAAAAGCCTCTGTAGACAAGCCAAGTGGAATTAAAATATAATGTACAATGAAAATAAAATGAACTCAGACAGTTGGCAAGCTACCGTAAAATCAAAACACACATTTAGCCTTGAGGGCTCCAAACCGCTATTTTCCAAACAGGGCAGCTCTAACCCAGGCAGAAACCAACTGCATGGCCCGAGAAATAAACCGGAAATTAGTTTTTGTTTAGATCATCAAGCCGACTGGCTGGAAGCCATGTCAGTAAGAGGTAACTTTTTTTTGTCTGTTTTTTAAAAGTTGAATTTATTGGGGTTAGATTGGGCAATTAAATTATGTAAGTTTCAAGTGTACCATTCTGCAAGACATCATCTGCACATTGTATTGTGTGCTCACTGTCCAAAGTCCAGTCTCCTCTGTCACCATTTAGCGCCTTTTACCCTCTTCCACCTGCCCCTACCCCCCCAGAGGTAACTCTTTAAGTAAAAATTATGGTAATTTTTAAAAAGTATTTTGGAATCAGCTCACAAACGTGCCTACTTATTTGGGCACTATACCCATCTCCCACATAGGATCTTATTCTCAAAGCTCTAACAGAAGTCTTGTAAATGTTCAGAAGCATAAGTAAAATAAAAGCATGGTAGCCCTGGCCAGTTTGGCTCAGCGGTTAGAGCGTCAGCCTGCGGTCCGGAGAGACCCGGGTTCGGTTCCCGCTAAGGGCACGTACTTCGGTTGCAAGTTTGTCCCCGGCCCTGGTTGGTCGTGCGGGTGGCAGCCACTCGATGTGTCTCTTCACGTCGATGTTTCTCTCTCTCTCTCTGTTCCTCTCTCTCCCTCCCACTCTATCTGTATAAAAAATGGAAAAATATCCTCGGGTGAGGATAAAAAAAAATAAATAAATAAAAGCATGGTAAAGAAAGTGTGATACGCTGAGAATTCTACAGCAAAGGTGCGTCCTATGTTTAGCCTGGCTTTCACGATTTGACTTTGGTTTTGATTCTTCGTGAGGGTGGAAGTTACATCATGGGACCATTTCAGCTGCTTTATCTACTTCCCTTTGCTGGTGGCTGCATGTTCAGGGATGGAGTGATACCGTCAAGACCAATGTAATGTGGTTGTTCCTGGGATGGAAATAACTAGTTTGGGTTTTATTGGTGGCCTGACCCGGAACTGCGGTAAGTGGGCACTGCAATCAATGCTCTCACATGACACAAGCAACACGTGGTCCAAGGTGGGGTCAGGGGTGGAGGGTGGTGACTGATTCAGGGCTCCATATAATCGTGCACCTCTGCCTTATAGACGGAAATAAATCCACACGATGCCTAACACCGAAGGGTAGAAAAGGTCAGCATCGTGTTAATCAGACACTGTGTCCACCTGTGATGAAAAGGCGGCTTTGGTCGTTGGTGTAAGATTACACCTTGCTCGTATCTTATTCAAGTTTCGAGGCACAGGCCAAGCTCCGCCTCCATCAGGGGGGCGCCTCAGCCCCATCACCTCCTCCTCCTCTCGGCTTCGGTGGCTCATGTGTTCTCCCTGCATCTACGCACTGTCTTGGGTTCATGTCTGTTGCTTCTCTATTGGTCTTATTTGCCGAAGGGGAGGTAAAGCTGCTTGACTGTGGGGACCACGTTTTACAATGTTCTGTTCCCCGCTGTGGTACTAAATGCTCTTCCCACTCCACAGAAGCTGCCCGAATGAGCGACTGTGCTTGGCCAACACGGCAGGCAGGGCCAGGGCCTGGATCCCCAGGGTAAATGAAAACCAATCAAACGTGAGTTCAAAGGCACCACGGGGGCTAAAGTCCTTGCTGACTGCAGAAGGGCTGACTTTTGACAGGAGAGTAAGCAAAGCCACTGATGCTGCGTGTCCCTGCTGCCTGACGTGACTCACGGAGCCTCAGTCTCATCCAGACGATAAGGAGGCTGGAGAGCAACCTCTAAGGTCACTTCCATCTCGAGTTCATGAATTTTCCATCTGTCTGTCCCTGTGGACAGGCCCTGCACTTGACATCTCAGCCAGTGTGCTTGCTACACCGACTTCTCACTTCACAGAGGGGAGGGGAGCTCCCAGCGCAGACAGGCCGGCGCCCTGAGCACCTACCCCCAGCTCCGGCCCGCTCCGGTCGGGGATGATGTCGTGGATGTTGCGGTAGTAGCCCAGGCACAGCGTGGCGCAGCGCACGAGGGCGCCCATGTACAAGGACAGGATCGGGATGAGCAGGGGCTCCCTGCACTCCAGGTGGCTGTGAAGCAAGATGGCCACGAAGACGACCTGCAGGGGGGGAGGGGAGACGAGTCAGAGGGGGGACGGAGCCAGAGCACGGCCCGCGCTGCGCCCGACGAGACTGAGTTCTGAGTGAAACCTGACGTGGATGAGAGAGAGAGGAGACCGGCTGCGGCTCCGTGCTGCTCTCACAGAACTCGGGTCAGACGTCTGGGAGTCACGGGCGAGCACAGGACCGTTCTGGTATATTCACCACCAGGACTCTCTTAAGGCAACTGCACGTCTGGTTAAGGTTATCGCTGAAAATATCTACAGACCCAGACCCCAAAGATACAGTAGAGTTTTTCCCTCTTGAGGCTGGATATTGACATGCACACGAATCCACACCTGCGGACATAGGTCACACACACACACACACACACACACACACACACACACAGTGATCAATGACAGCAGGATACAGAAAAGTTGATATTAGTGTTTATAAGACGGAATTCACTAAAAATGCAAAAGCACCAATATTAGTTATTATAAAACAAGCTAAATTATAAGTAGTAATTTATAAAAATGGATGATGTAAAAGAAATAGTCAAGAGGGATATAAATCATAGTAAAGTTTCTAAAGTAAATGTAATAATGTATGTAACCTCCCTGTCCTACAGAAATATGAGAAGCAGCCCCGCCTCTATCCAGAGTCCTGGGACCCACACATTCGAAAGACCCCTGAGGTGTCCTGAGTGCAGAAGTAGGGTAATGGGTGAGGGGGGATGTCCCTGAGTTACATCAACCTTAAGAGCCGAACCTCCACCACCTGACAGACATGTGAAATACACCCCCACCGAGGGACTCTCACCAAAGGACTTATCCCGGTCACTGCATTATCAGGGAATCAGGGGTGACAGAAAGTCACACAAGAAGCTGGAGACTGAGCGTGATTCACTGGATGAGTACATGTGTTGCCATAGTGACCACAGAAAAGCAGGGTGATCCAGAGACACGTGTCTGAACGAAATAAAAGTATTAGCTATAGGGGTGATGTGCTTATAGCACAGGCTGGCACTTGTGCCTAGGCTGTCGTTCAAACCCGGTGACTGAGGCAGACCCTGGCACCAATGTCCTTAGGGGGATGCAGGGCAGCGGTGCTGCGGGGCCATGTGGACACACCAGGCTGCCCGCAGCACGGGTGATGTGAGTGGTCATAAGTGGGGCAACGCTCAGTCACGCTCATGCTCACTCTTCATACAGCAGCGCCAGTGATGGGCGAGGAGGTGCCGTGGCTTCGCCCCAACTGCTGCCAGTGGAACCACTTCATGTTAACTAGAAACTAGGGACCAGCGGGCGGAAGCCTTGTGAAGAACCCACCACGTCTGGATCAGGAGACTGAGAGTTCTGTGTGGCAACAGGATGCCCATGTACTTCTCCAGTGAATCAGAGGCCTCTAAGGTGCCCGAACACGGAAACTCAGACCAGTGTGTCTGCAGCAGGCGTAACACTGGACATATGCAGACCTACAGTGTACACTGGGATGATCACATTTACAGACTTGAAAACGTGTATGCAAAATGAACAGGTGAAGGCCAACCCCTCTGCCAAGCCCAGGAAGGCTCCTGGGGCCATCAGAACAGCCATGCAGGACCAAGGAGGAGGAGCTGGACTTGAAGGAACAGGGAGCCACAGGCACGGAATCGGGCTGGAGTGGGACAGAGGAACAGGAGGGTGCCTTCGGCCAGTCATGCTCCCAGGGTCAAGGTGAAGACGTTGGCAGCCTCTCCCGTCCTTTCAGTGACGTCATACAGTCCAATACTTATCACAGTGCTTACCATCTTCATGGTGGAGTGTATCATTTGTCAATTTAAAATAAGCCTCGAGCCTTTGAATTTCAATCCGGAACTACAATTTTGAATCAAAGAATGTCGGATTAATATCTGAGGGAAACCTACTGTCTCAGTGGTGAAGACTTTCCCAGGGGGAGCCTGTTATGTGCTGGCCCCACGCCAGGTGCTGGGGAGTCAGCGAGAAATCACACAGTCCCAGATTCTGTCATCTTAGAGGAGGCAGAAATGTTGATCAAACAGGGATGCCAGCGAGTGACCACTGACACACTGGGACAAGGCCTGTGAAGGGAAGAGGGTGATGGCTAGAGAGCCAGGCTGTGGAGTGTGGGAGGGTACCCCATGTGGGGTGTCAGACCTACAGCCTCCGCAGGAGCAGGCGGGTGGGACGTGGGGATTCAGAAGGAGGTAGGGAGAACTGAGGCAGAACACTACCTTCTGGGCAGAGGGATGCCGGTAAAGACCCCAGCAGGACGGGCTGGGCCACACCGAGGCCCCCAAAGGAGGACCTGTAGCTGGAGTGCAGGGTGCAGGACAGCGCCTGCTGGAGGGGAAGCAGGGTCCCTGCGTCTTCAGTACCTGCAGCCTACGATCGGGACTTTGGCGTTTACCTCATGAACACCAGGAAGCAACTTTAAAGCAGGTTTTAGGCAGGGGATGAGGTGACTGGATTTCACTGAGAACAGGTCACCGTGGCCGAAGGGGAAGGATGGAGAAGAGCCAGGGCAGCAAGGGGCAGGTGAGTTGGGAGGCGTCTCAGGAAGTGCAGGTGGAGGGGAGGTCCCTCAGACCAGGGCGAGCACAGCAGAGATGGGGAGAGGAGGGCAGGAAATAAAAGTCTGGGATTAAAACTGGAAAGGTTTGGTGATGAAGAGGGATGTTCCAGGGTGGTTCCCAGGTGTCGGCCCAGACCCATGGGTTCTCAATGACTTCAGAAGGGAAGGGCTGATTTTAGCAGCAAGGTTAGGGGACTGGAGGTCCCAAGCAGGTCCCGCACCTCAAGAGAATTCTCATTTTAATAACGAGCAACCTAGGAATGGCCAGGTGATCAACATTAAACAAACACAGCAACATGTTTCATAAATCCCTCAGCAACATAATTGGAACACAGGACTATTACAATAATAGTGGCACAGAAACGCACTGCATGTTTGAGCCAAACCAAGAGGTTTTCTGTACTACTGTGTAAAAGCAATTAACTTAGTAAACTTTTAAAAAGGGAGTTGCCACAGCAATTCAAAACATTATAAACTATTTTCATTTTGTCCCTGGTGATTCCTTGCCATCTATCTATGCCAAAGTCATATTTCAAAAGACCCTGCCTAGCCCTGGCCAGGTGGCTCAGTTATTTGGAGCATTGTCCTCATGTGCCAAGGTTGTGGGCTTGATCCCTGGGTCAGGACACATACAAGAATCAACCGATGAATGCATAAATACATGGAACAACAAATCGATCTCTCTCTCCCTCCCCCTCTCTCTTCCTCTCTCTAAAATCAATAGACCAAAAAAGAAAACAAAGCACTTTGTCTACGATCTATTAACTCATTACCAAATTTAGTAAATGCTCTCAGGTAATAAGAGGGATGAAGCTGAGGGTGGGTTGTGGCAGTAAAAGGCTTAAGAATAAACATCGAATTTATTCCCCCAACCATATTGTGTTAGGAACTCAAACAATAAGGCTTAAAATAACTACTTCACCAGGAATAGACCGAAACCAGATGCCAACTGAATCCAGCTTCCATGGCTCCTACTAACCAGACACGTTCAGTCTGAACTTGGGAGCCCTCCTGATAGGCAAGGACCGGGACCAGGTTTAAAACTGAGAAGGAAAATGGCTGTGGGTCCAGGTGCGCGTGTGTGTGCACACAGGTGCACACACTGTCAGCAGGAATGAATTTCAATCACTTTTCATTGTGATCCATGGAGTAAATGCAATTCACCTGGAAATCTAACTCCTGGTCTCCAGGGAGGGACTGATGGTTCGATAGATTATTTCAGACGATGGCTAAAGGACTCGCGTGTACAATGGGAAAACCAGGGAGAAGAGCATGGAATTGGCCACAGAATGGAACTGAGAATTGGGAAGGGAGCTTAGAAATCGGTCTAACCTCCTTCTCTATGATGAAACCATTCTCATAAACTCCTAAATGTAGGAACTATGTCTAATTTATGGATTATAGGAGTTAAATCTAATTTTCTGCTGAAATTGTTCATGCGGCATCCTTGGTGGAAGAAGAAAGAAAGGAGAAGGGAAACCAGGGCTGGTGCCAGACCCCAGGGACCTGGACTGAGCAGAGAGAGCAATGAGGTTTCTCCTCAGGCAGCGCTGAGCCTCCTGGTTCTTTTAAATGTGGGGAATGATGACAGAATGGCAGCCCGGCGCGGCAACATGAGAAACATTTAAGGATAATTCCTGCCCTGGCTGGTGTGGCTCGGTTGGTTGGGCACCGAAAGATTGCTGGTTTGATTCCCAGTCAGGGCACATGCCCAGGTTTCAGGCTCGATCCCTGGTGGGGGGCGTGCTGGAGGCAGCCTGTCGATGTTCTCTCTCACATAGGTGTTTCTCTCTCTCTCTCCCTCTCCCTTCCTCTGTCTCTAAAAACCAACCTACACAACACACACACACACACACACACACACGAATGTATAAAGAAGAATTTCTAGTAACTCTAGAACCAAGCAACAGCCCACATATTGTTAGGCCACACAGAGGACCTAGTGTCCACACAGCCAAGTGCCCAGTGACCCTATGACCACCCCAAAATGTCCCAGCTGTGACTTTATAGTCATTTCACATGCCAGCTCTTTAAAAGTAAAGGTCAAAACCTCTGACACTACATGTAACTTCCCGAAGCCCTCATTCTAGCAAGATTAAACAGACTGGTGTCCCGGGAGGCTCGTTTTCTCGTTCGCTTCACAAACGTTCACCGAGGTCCACGCCCGACCTGAGTCAGGGAGGAAGGCGCCGCAGGGCGAACGGAGGCACAGGTGGCATCGGGGAGCTCTGGCACCCCCAGGGGGGCCCTGAGAGCTCTGGCCGGCGCGCAGACTGCACTGACCTGAGCGATGACGTCCGAGATGGAAGCACATCCCACCAGGAAGCTGTACTTGTGTTTTAAGAGAATGCCAGCGTGGGTCCAGGCCTGCCAGAAGAACGAGAATTCAGCATGAGGCACACCTTTGGGATTCTATCATTTCTGGTCGTGGTGATGTACTGGACAGTCCTGAAATAGACTTCGTGCCCCCTAGAGCCTCAGGAGTGCAGGTGGGGAAAACTTTGGTTGGTCAAACGACTGTAGCGGGGCCGGGTGGCTACAGCCACGTTGGCTTTTGAAGTGGAGCCGGTGACTGCACAGAATTCATCTCATAACAACCACATGCAGACGAGTGGCCCGGTTAGGGTCCCGTGCCTGGCGGGACAGCGGGGTGGACAGCAAGCATGGAGGAAGCCAGCCTCTGGCTCCGGGAATCATCAAGCAGCAGCTTCTCCACAGATAAAACCTGTCCTAGTGGGGCACCAACTTGGTTCTGAGCTACCGCCGTCATGACTGGTTCCCATGGACTGACCAGGGTTCCACTCCTTCTTCTCTTCAAGTTTGGGCAGGATGTGATCTGCCCTTGTGTCTTTGAGGGAAACTACGAGGCAAGTCCTGGAAGGGGAGTAGACAATGGAAAGACCAGGGGACGGCAGGTGTGGAGGTTTGAAGTCCATGATAGTATCTGTTTAAGGATCAGCCTTCTGACCTGGAAGGGCCGACCTGGCCTGACACAGAAATAACATTTCATGTGAGCTCAGTAAGTCGGTGTCAAGACTTTACATAGCAGCTGCTACATCTACTTCCTTCCTCGGCCTATGTGGCCCAACGTGTCAGACGTGAAAAGAAATGCTAACTGTAGATAACATTTGCAAATAGCAGCTTCTGGCCTATCTTTGTTGACCAAAAGCCATCTGGATGATAAGCTTTGCAGTTTTCAAATATTATCTCTCCAACCAATACACCAGGGCTACACTGCAGGTGTGTGTGTGTGTGTGTGTTTGGGGAGATGACCTGCTCGTTATAAATGTTCATTACTTTATGTTTTATTAGAAATCTCTTGCCTTTGGGGTATTTGAGGGAGTTGATGGATGAAACATGGAAGAAAAGGGTACTCATCACACGTTTTGGTGTTATACTAACTGTTAGAAACTTTACCGTGGCAAATAAATACAGCTGAAGGAGAGTGGAATACGGGGCACTTGAGTCTATGATTCACTTTTACTAACAGTCCAGAGTTCCCTGAATTCACCGTACAATTGTAATTCTTCTTCGTGTTTAGAGTCCTAGTACAGCTGGGTGGGCAGGTGTCAGACCAGCATCATGGACCCTGGCTGGGATGTTTCCTCCTTTAGGATGTGAAAGGGTCACCCACTGAGCTCTGTCTGACGGGGAAGCACGGTGAGCCACTGTCGGGCAGCATGGACACCCTGGGAATCTGGTTCTACGGACCCAACCCCTCTGCTCTTCTCGTTTTTTCTGGTTATGTGTCAACTACCAGAGTAACTACACCTGGTGACAGGAAAAAAGAAAATCTAGGTACAAGTGTTCTGATGGGTAAATTCTCCCACTAAAGTGCTGTCCCAACAACTGAGCACTAAAACCTGTCACACCTGAGAATTTAACAGTTAAGGCTGCCCTGCAAGCTGGTGGAGAGCTGTCAGTCACCTAACTGCTGGCAAACTCCGACTTTCGGTAACATTTGAGAAGATGGGCCACAGAATTTTTACCGTGACTCATTCTTCCATAGACTTGGGGCTGCTCTCTCACCTTAATACAGACATCCACTCGCCTCGTGTCTAATGTATATAAAACTGGAGGTAGGGATGCTAAAAACTGTACATATGAACATATTTGAATCTCCTTCCAAGGGTTATTTAAAATGAAGCCCAAGGAAACGGCTTATTTTTCAGCACGGGATATGATGAGCACATATATATTTTTTATTTTTGCTAAGTCTTCTACAGCACAGATGGGTAGGAAAAAAAGCATTGTATGAGAACTCATTAGAATCCTGACAAAGAATTCAATCTATGGAAGCGAGCTACCCCCTTAGCTAATGTGGTAAAGCTGGTGTTTAAAGGAATAAAATCCTATCAGGATATTAAAGAGATTACTATTCTAAAAAGCTTTAGATACTCTCATACCACACAAGTGGCAAGTTTATCAGAAAGCTATCCGAATTCCTAGATACTGAATATATCAGAAGAGAACGTCATATTTCAATAAAAAATGTCAAATGGCTCTCCTGCTGCCTGCCAGAACTTACAGCAAATACAGACAATTCTCATACAGTCAACTGACAAGGTGGACTGGTTCAGTCACCGGGAGCCCTTCTGACTGTTGGATGTTAGTAATGGTGCAGCCCTTATGGAAATCAGCATGGTGGTTCTTCAAAAATTTGAAAAGAGAATTACTATATACCTGAACAAATCAAAGAAGGGACTGAAAGAGATATTTGTACACCCATGTTCATAGCAGCATCATTCAATAGCCAAGAGGTGGAGGTAACCCAAAAGTCCACTGATGAATGAATAACCTAAATGTGGTAAATACATACAATGGAAGGTGATTCAGCCTGAAGAGGGACATTCTCACATGTGTTACAACATGGATGAACCCTGAAGACATTACACAAAGTGGAATAAGCTGGTCACAAAAAGACAAATACTGTCTGGTTCCACTCACAGGAGGTTCTTAGAGTGGTCAAATTCACAGAGACAGAAAGCAGAAGGGTGGTGGCTGGGGGATGGGGGAGCGGTAATGGGGAGTTAGTATTTAATGGGGACAGAGTTTCAGTTTTACAAGATGAAAAGAATTCTGAAGATTCACAACAGTGCAAATGTACCTCATGTCATGGAACTGTATACACAAAAAAGGTTACAATGGTAAATTCTCCGTTCTGTATATTTCACCGGGATTAGCGGAAGGCCAGTCTTCTCTACTCACCATCGCATCCATGAAAGGGAAGGCGGCAAGATAGAGGAAGGCCCTCCGCGTTTTGCTCCCCACGGACTCGTCCACATGGTGCAGTTTATTGATAATGTAGTAGCCTAGGTCACTGTAAGCTGCAAGGGGCCAAAAAACATACATGGCGACATTTAGAAAAAGTTGTCTTTATATGCTTTTTCTCTCAAAAGTTTAAAAACAATGTATTTAAACTTAGAAAATGTATATGAGCAAAATGAAGACCATCTACAATCACATCCCTCTACCTGGGTCAAGGGGTGGGGTGGGTCATGGTGAAACTCTGGGCTCTAATCACCCAGTTCTTTTATGGGGGAGGTGTGGTGGGCTTGTGTGGGGTATGCATGTGGGTTTTAACAGAAAATGTGATTGTACTTATATATCCTCCTTTCGAAACCATGAACACCTTTTCATGACATGCTTCTACATCTTAGGGGTGGCACCGAATGTCTTTCTGTAGGTTTACTTAGTATCAACTCAGACTCCTATTATTGTCCATTCAGGTAGTTTCCATTATTTTGATATCATAAAAGAAGGCTTGATGGACAGTTTTGAAGCTAAATGTTTACACATATTCTTAATCATTTACTAAGAGAAAATTCCTAGATGTTATTATGCCCCTTCAGCCACAATTTTCCAGCTAACTTTTCACCATTTGCTCTTCATTATGCTTCAGTTTTTTGGAGGAGGGTGGCACCCTTGACTGTAGCCCTGCCTGGTGGTAAATGGTATCTCTGAGGTGCTTCTGAAGTCCCTCCAACATCAGGATTTGTGACCAGTGTGTGACGGGAACATAATGGAACTTAACCAGTGTGGGCTGAATGGGTGTACAGGTGCCAAATAGACACAGAGGGAAGGAAGAGAAAGGCCTCCCCATGTTAGGCGGGCATTCCGACGGGCGATACCGGCAAAGGCGACGTAACATCATGTTTTTTCTACCTCATTGATACATGCTTAGAATACACAGGAAGATGACCACCTTTGTGTTTTTTGTTTTTTTTTATCCTCACCCGAGGACATTTTTCCATTTTTTGTTCAGGTAGAGTGGGAGGGAGAGAGAGAGAGAAACATCGAGGTGAAAGGGACACATCGAGTGGCTGCCACCCGCACAACCGACCAGGGCCGGGGACAAACTGCAACCGAGGTACATGCCCTTAGCGGAAACCGAACCCAGGTCTCTCAGATCGCAGGCTGACGCTCCAACCGCTGAGCCAAACTGGCCAGGGCCACCTTTGTGTTTTTATAGTGTTTTACTGAGTGCTTTAACAGTCATGCCCCTGCTGTTTTCATTCTTTTATTAATATGAGTGTTCGTGTACCTGACCACCACAGATGCTGTCTGGCAATCAGAAAGGAGGCAAAGGCAGCGAGCCTCACCTTATGGGAAACAGTAAGAACCCTCCTCCCACTGCGAAGCTTGGGGGATGACTTATTACCAAATTAACTGGTAAAAAGAAATGACTCTCCTTCCTTTGTCAGGATCAGTCTTGAATTATGGGTACTGAGGTCTTCGGGATGATATTGAGAATCTTTAAATGCACAAACGGGAATCCCACTGGGGGCAGAGGTGCAAGTGAGCGATGTCCCGGGTAGAGGCGGGACGGGCTGAGACACGCAGAGACAAGGAAGGTGGGGAGGCAGATGCAGGGGGTGAGGGCTGAGTCCTCCCAGGAGAGGCAGAGGGGACAGCCGTAAGGTGAGCTGCCAGGTGAGCAGAGGTGTCAGGTGTGGAATGCGGCAGGGCCAGCAGGGCCACTGAGGCAGCAGGAAGACAGACCCAGGAGGGGAGGCGTCACTGGCAGAAAGGGGAAGGACGTGGGAGGGTGGGATGAGTGAGAGGCCAGGGACAAGGGAGGAAGGAGGCAGCTACCATGTCTGTGCTTGGATCAGAAGGCACACAGGCGGCTGGGAATTAGAGGAGGCTTGACTGAGGCATTCGGACCTGAGATAAGCTGACAGAATCACAGAGGGATGGACTTTATCATACAGACTGCCAGCTTCAGCTGCCGAACCCTGGAAATCTTGCCTCCGAGTTTCTTGTTGCTGCTGTTTATCTGCACATGTGTTTTCATTCAGTCAGGAGGCTACTGTGCTGGGACCTGCAAGGAACCCAGGCTGCTCCTGCCTCAGCACTGCCCCGCGCTGGCGGAGGCCACGGGCCAACAGCAGGCATGCTGGCAGGCAGAGCAGGGCCCGCCAGGTGCCAGGGCCCCAGGCTGGCTATGAATAGCTCTGCAGCTAAAACTCCCTGTCAAAGGTTAGCCTTGATATCAAACACCAGCTGAGTGGATCTGGCTACACAGCCAACGCTGGGACCACAAAACTCGTGAGAGGTTGAGATCCAGAGGGTGGTGGTGTGGCTTAAACTGTGTCCCCTCGAAATCTCTATGCTGAACCCTAGCCCCAGTTCTCAGAATGTGACCGTATTTGCCAGCAGGGTCATTGCAGATATAATTAGTGGAGGAGATTGGGCTCCCAATCCAATATGACCGGTGTCCTTCACATTTGGACTTGGAGACAGACACGCACAAGGGAACACCCCGTGAACCCGAATTCAGACAGAACAGTCATGCCTGCACAGACCAGGCCGCTGCGGACGCCAGCAGGCCGCCAGAAGCCGGGGAGCGGCCTGAACAGAGCGGTCTCACGGCCCGGAAGGAACCACCCTGCCGACACCTCGATCTTCCAGCCTCCAGGCCGGAGACGGCACGTTCCTGTCGTTGAGCTGCGCAGCCCCTGCAGGGTGGTCAGGGCAGCACTCGCCAACCCACGTGGCGGCTTCTGCAGAAGGGAAGGAGAGAATTCTCTTCCTGTGAAACTCTGGGGTGGCAGCAAGAAAGATGGGACCTGCTGTGTGGCCGGGGGGGGGGTTGGGGGGGTGGGGTGGGTGGAGATCCACGTAAATGAGCTTTTCTACCCTGTGTAAATATATCTCCTTATGCTACCATATTTTGACTAAAATAGCCAAAACAGCGCCTTTCTGTACAGTAATGAAGGAAACATTTACATCTTAGCAAGGTCTGGAGGACGGAGGGGGGATGAGCCCAGCCCAGTGTTCTGACTGTCGGAATGTTCCCCTCATCCCTGCCTTCTCCAGCCTGCAGGTAGTGCTGGGCTCTCCCGGGGTCCCCAGGCCCAAGTACTTAGAGACCTATGGGTCAAAGGCTGTCTTTGCTTCTTTTTCCTTCTTTTCCTCTTTTAAGTACTAGGAAAATTTGGAGGCCAAGGAAAGCTTTTCCTCCCTTCCTTCTACTCCTCCCCTACACGGCAGAAGAGTCTGATCATAACTACAAAGGTTGTTTCCACCCTGTGAGCTGGGAATATAAAATCCCAGCAGCTGTCTTTACCCCCCTCGGCCCCCCCTCCCAGCCTGTGCCCTGGAGCTGTTTCCAGCGGGAGCTGTTGGCTGGGGGTAATTTGTTTAAAGGGCTTTGCACAGAGTTCTTAGCAACATCTAGTAACCTTCAACTCCTATAAACTGCCTTACCAAGACTGTTCTGAAACAGCACGTATTCCTTATGAAGAGCAGAACATTAAAAAGAAAAATGAAACGAGGTTTTTAAACAGATGTAAATGGATTTCCTGATGGGGATGCAGTAAGAGGACATCGACCTGACCTATTTACAGGTCAACAGCTTTGAGCCTGCCCAAATCCCTAGCTCCTCTGACCGAAGGCTGCCGGCGTCATGGACCCTCTCCGCAATTGGTGGTTCTCAAGCTTGTTCATCCAGTAGTTACCAGCCCTTGTTTCAAAATGCATGGCAATATTAATATTAACCAAAACAAGTCTATATACCATTTTAACAACAGGATAATATGTGTATTTCCAAGAGGCAAATTTGAGAACTCATTCTCATTCAAATCCCCAAGTTCCCATGCTTAAAAGTCTCACAACTGATTGGCCCACTATGTTCTTTTTATGAGGCTTTTCACAGGGGCTGATAACTTCACCCTGTGTTTCTAATGTATTATTTCCAAAGGGTGTGTGTTTGCATGACTGATATTTAAATCACTTTAACAAAAATGTCTGAATGACTTGTATGTGTCAGGCAATGTGCTACTGTCCCAGCTGCCAAGAGGCTGGCCACCTGCAGCAGGGTGTGTCACAGACATATTACAAGCTCATTTATATTCTGCACCATGCAACATTCATCTCGAAGATAGGGGGATGGGAGGTACAAACACTGCCCAGGCCTCGGAGAGGAAGCATAAACCTATACACAAAATAAGTTAATATGACATATTAACACAAGAACAAAAATTCTCTCTTACCGGTATCAAGACTTGGAAGAGAGCGTTTTGTAATGATTTACTGTATGATACCTGCTTTTCTCTAGAGAACATGCCTTAGTCTTGCCTGAATTCCCAGGATCTAGACCAGTGTTTGCCACATAGGAGGTGTTCAATATATATTGATTGAATAAATGCATGAATCCATAACGCCCAAAGAGGTGACTGGGACAGACTGATTGCAATAATGTCCCAGCAGTGGCCATCTAGACCAGCTCACAGTCAGCTGACAGCCCCCAGTGAGACCACCGAGATCAACAGAGCTTCCTCCTCAGCTGATCACAGAGGCACAAGCACGGCCACGTCCAGAAGAACTGCCCAGCCAACCCATGATCTCGTAAGCAGAGTATAGGGGTGGGTTTTCATACAGTGATAAATTGTGGGACTATTTTGGAACTGCCTGTTCGTTCCTAGCACCCTTGTTGGTTTAAATTACATCCAACTGTACTAATTCACCTTTTACAGGGCGGCTTTATGATCCATGAACAATGGAAAAGTTTGTTGACAAAGGAAGACTGAGAAACAGAATGACTCCAGAAATAACTTCACTTGTCCACGGCCAAAATGTTATTCTGAGCTCTGCTGACAGCCCAGGCTGCTTTGGGACATGGAGGAGGCCTACGGGTCACTGGTGAGAATAAACGTGTGAAGAAATAAGAAATCCACAGCAGTGGCTTCTGCATCTGTGTGAATGAGGGGGTCAGGCAACATGAATACCACGCAGGTGAAATTATGTTGAACCCAAATGAAACCAAATACAAGGTCACCAAGCTCTCCTCTCTTCACAGATTGAGAGAAAACAGGACCACCCC